GCCATCCTGGCTCTCTCAATGGAAGATTGCTTCATTTGTTAGCCTGTGACAACTCCTTCCTCTACAACATTTTCTTTTTTATTTTCTTCCTCCCCGGGCCACTCCTTTTAACATACCCAGCCGCTTCCTTTTGCTTTTTTTTTTTTTAAATACATATTCAGATTGCTCATACCTTTTACAGTTTACAAGATCCTCCAGTCGGTCCTCGAAGCATGGAAATATCCATTTTCTCATGGTTCTCTTGCAATCGATGGGGTTATTTCCCCCCCCCCCTTCTATTCTTCTTTCCTTTTGGGAAGCGGAATTTTCTTTTCTTTTTTTTAAAATCGCTTTTTGCAAGAAGGAATGGAGAAGAAAAATGACTCAGACAGGGAAAGATGTAAAGACGGAGAAACAGAAAGCAATGAATTGGAATCAGGAAAGATATAGAGGCTAATTTCTATTCCTGGAAAAGTTTCACGTCCAAATCTCTGCCAGGTGAAGCATGAAAGAGTGAGCTGCAGAAACCAGCTGAGTGTTGTTCCTGTTGCTGTTTTTAAGTAGAGGATAATAAAAGAATACGTAGTCTAAGAGAAAGAATTCAGAAGCAATGACCTTCAAAGCAAACTTAACAAGAATCATCAGAGAGCACGGAGAGTTAGTGGGTGGACCTATGCAAATCTAGCGCCAATGGGGAAAGCAGGAAGCCCCAGACTTGACATAATCAAGAAAACGTATAAAATCTGCAGATCATCATCAACCGGAAGGAGTTGGTCCCTGTGGGTTTTGGAAAAGATGTGTTTTCGGAGGATACCCCTGGGATCAGGAGCCAATCCGACCCCACTTTAGCCCTCAGCTGGTCTGCGATTTAGCTCTTCTCTCCCTAACTCCGAATGTCAACGGAAGGGATGTCTTCGGAATCTCTCCGACTTACGGGTATCGCTTCTCGGCCTTTTGGCTAAGATCAAGTGTAGTATCTGTTCTTATCAGTTTAATATCTGATATGTTCTCTATTTGAGAACGATGTATTAAGCCGATTTTTGTAACTAGGAGTTGGAACAGGGGCTTGCTCCGTCCTCTCCACGCATTGACCTGGTATTGCAGTACTTCCAGGACCAGTGCTCCCCGATTCGGTTCAATGGCAGATTAACTTCTTTCTCGATTAGTTGCTGTTTTGCTTAGTTCTTTGTCTCCTTGTTTCTACATGTTTTTCTTGGTTTTATTCCGTCTTATTTGTTCCTTGTATGTGTTGTCCACCCATGTTTCTTTCTTCCACCCGTTGCCCCTTTTATTATTCCTTTCTCCTTCTGTCTTTGTTTCTCCCCTTGTGTTCTACCACTTTTCTATCGCTCTACTCTTTCCACCCATTTTGTTTTTCCTGCTCCTCCATCATCTTCTCTTTCTACCCCAACTCCATGCACCCCCACCCCTTTTCCTTCTCCTGCTCCGTTACTTTGGGGATTTTCTTAATTTCTCACTGTTGCTCCAGTATTAGGCTGATCTTACCTAGTCTCAAAAGGAAAGTACGGCAAAGTGTGGTGAGCTTTGGTGGGGGGACTGCTAGCAGAACTTGGAAGTTGAGGAAGCACCCTGGAAGAGGGCAATGGCAGAGTGTGTCCATATTGCTGACGAGGACTTGGACTTGAGGACATTACTTTTCTTGCTGTTGTTCGTACCAGGAGAGACCTGACTGTTTGGAAGAAGGCTTAGCAGCTTAGAAGATTTCTGTTTTGGGTCAATTTGGAACTGATGAACTATTACCCAGATCCATTGCATTATTTCAGATTGGAATTTAAAGCGTTGAAAACAAAAATGGTCCACCCAGCTGATGCACATAAACACCATACATGTATCTCAATACGGTGCCCTGTTTCTCTTGCACACCCAAACCCCCAACTCTCTGACAAATGGACATTGGGAAAAGCCAATCCGTTTTTCTTACTTAGCAAACTCAACCAATTTTAATCTGATTGTGTTTAATGGAGAAATGCATTTCGACTGAGGAGCAGGTATAAACTTGTAAGTTTCTGGGAAGCAGAGGCAAGGAGGTTGAGCCATATCCAGAATTCCTAGCCATTGAGGGAATTGGGGTCCTAGATCTGAGGAGGAACGGGATGGGGGGGGAGGGAAGAGTTTGGTTTAAGCAGTGTCTATATTGGGATAAATATATATATAAATATATGTATGTATGTATATTCAGTTACCATCCAATGGCCCCTTCCTAAAGAAGACCAGCACCACTGTCTAAAGGCCTAGCTGTCAGATCAGTGAGTGAGGAAATCAATCGTATGTAGCTTAAGCCAGTTCTAGTTATATGCTTCCTACTTAATTCTTCCGTATCTGTGCATGACGGTCTTTGTGTTTTTCAGATAAAACATTACTGGAAGAGATTCATTCTCCATATGAGACTTTGCTCCTTAGGATGTTTTTGACATATCTTATTTATTTGTCCTTCCACATTTATCACAAGGAGTTTGAGTAAGTGGCGCGCAGACGATGAGCTGGTCATGCAGGTTGAGACATGCCTGCGTCTATCCGATTGAGGATCAACGTCAGGGGATTCTAGACTTGCCTCCAATTTAGATGGCTTTAAAAGGCATTTAGACCAAGTCACGGGTAAAGGATTCTACACACAGAGAAATATGTCATAAGGTCAACATTTTGCTTGCTGTTTGATAAATAGGGATGACCTCAGTCAGAACGGGAGCAACGGCAAACTAGCAGCAGCCAAAGACGAGGGACGTTGGCAGTTATAACTTAGTTTCACTTGCAGAGCCACAAGTTCACCACCACTGATCTGGATGAATCAGGGCTATCACCAGTTTAATCCTGGGTTGGCCTGATTAATAACTGAAATTGGCACAACTGCACCCAAGCATAAATCATTCTCTGCTTTTGACATGATGCACCTTCTCTCCTGATTGTCCTCTTAGAAGCAGCATCCCTGCCCAGGTGTGGGAGAAGCTTCTTCTAGGGGCGATGTCTACCTCCTGCAGTTAATTCTCAGGGCAGACTTCATATTTTTTTTTCTAATGCTGTCTTATTAATGGAAGCAGCTTTTCATTCAATTAAAGTGATTGTTTTAAATCTGAATCTAACCCAGCCTTCTCTCACCCAACACTCTTCAGATGAGTTGGAACTGCACTCCCAGAATTAATTCCTGGGCCAGGCGGGTATGGAAATGCCAGGTTGGACTGACCAATTAGCAAATCTAACCAGTTAACATAACTAAAGGGTGAAAGCATCTCAGATGAAGAACACACTCAACCTAACTTTTTTTCCTGAACTTTTTAAGCTGTTTTTGCCAACTGTTCCAGTGGCAACCCCATAATGGTGGTCTTTTCTAACCCTAGTGATAGAAGTCCCCGCCTGTTCAAGTGCTTCTCCAAGTTGATGACCAAGAATATTAGTCCCAATGCCTGCCATGTCAAAGGTAGAATCAAGTTTTGCTTAGCTGGTTGGTTTTCTGACCTTCTCCAGTTTCCTCTGCCATGTTCAACTAATTAATATCCAATTAATTATGTTTATCTAATTAATAACTTCAGACACCTCTTTCTGCTCATCTTCACAGGCATTTTGTTCAGTGATCGACAGCAAGCAGTCTACGCACTCAGTTACATTGATAAGTGCTGGGAGATTTTCCAGGCGTTCTGCAGACCTAGAGCTGTAGCTCCTTATGAACCTACAATGAAGATGAGAGACTTCCTTTGGATGCTGAAAGTAATCTTAACTCTCAGAAGGTTTAGCAGCAGATCGTTAGCCGACCTTGACTGATCTTGTGGCAGGCTGTTAGCTAGATTGGCAAATAATTAAAATCATTATGTCCATGTAATCACCAAGAGTCAGTGGAAGATTCTCATTCCTTTGTACCTGGATCAGTCACAAGCACACCTTGCCTGGTTTAGATAATTTAATAAAATCTTCTTCCCCAACTTGGTGCTTTCCAGATAAGTTGGAAGTACCGTTATGTATGGATCCACCCACGTGACCTCTATGGTCAGAAATGGTCAGAATAAAATACTGATGTCACTTCCAGGGAGCCCTTTCATGCAGATCTGTCTACAGGGATGGGCCAGGAAAATGGGATGCTTTACCAGATAGCCTCAGGAGCATGGTTCAAACCATTTGGTAATATCCAACAAGGGATCTTTAAATAGCAGTTGAGGTTTTGTAGGCACGGAGATGAAATGGTCACGATCACATTTTTCAGTATGACCAATGCTCTGGATCATTTCTTTGGGGACTTTTGAATATGGAGGAAAAGATGCTTTGAGGTGGGGATATGAGTGATGAAATTCCAAATACAAAAACTGAAGCACATATACGAGTGCTTGACCGTGCAAAATGAGAGGAGAGAAGGGGCATTTTGAATTAAAGCTAGAACGACGAGCTTGGCTGATGCATTTCAAGAATATTTGGTCTCAGTGATGAGTATTTGCAAAAACTCCAAGACGTAGGGAATGTTCCATTCCAGAGAGCTCTGCATAACCCCATTTTTGCATCAGTCAATTTGCATCATCATCACCATCCTCTGGATGGTGCTTTGGGTGTAACCCACATTTTTATACAACTTGAACTAGATATGCCTTACAGAAGCTTTTCTTTCAAGTTATAGAAGTCAAGGAAGAACTGTTGGAAGACCTGAAGGGCCAGGTTGGTGACAGATCATCCTAGAAATCTATGTAATTGCTAAGAGTTGACATTGACTTGATGGCGCATAATCATCAAAATGTGGGTAAAGCTAACCATATTTTGGTTTGTTTCAATCTTCAGGATTTAAGACTCATAAGCAATCAACTAACAGCTACCAAGGTTGTGAATATTCTAGCTAAAGACAGCCCTTGTGTCTCTGATGGAGAGTCCACTAATTTGGAGTGTGAGGTATGAACCTAAGAGACTTTGGGATAATAGATGTGGATGTACAATTTGGCTACAGCAATTTTAAGAAAAAGCTCGCTTTGCGTAGGTGGCTATGGGGGTTTGGGTTACTCAGGCTAGAGTTTTTGTACTTTGGATTTTAAGAAGACCCTCAACCGTCTTAGGCCCATTTGCGTTTTGGTGTATCCTTCAGCGCCTGAAACTTCGCCTGGTTCCTCGGAGTCGATTCCCTGCCAGTAGCTTATCCCTGAATCCTACTCCAGCAGGACTCCTCCTACCCCCTTGCCTGCCTTCTCTTCTTTGGTTTCTCTTTCAGCTTGTCTTCCTTGAGTTCTTTGAAGCTCTAGTAGACTGTGCCCTTATTTATGTCACCGATGAGATGTTGAAGCAGCAAGCTGAAGAAGCTAGCCATGCAGTAACAGTTTCTTACAGAACAGATGAGTTCACAGACAGGACTGGAGTTTCCTCTTTGCCTCCCGAAATGTCCTCTCCTCAGGTTAGTCCATTTGAAGTCAGCCCTGGTTCTCTGGCTGTTCTCATGCAACTAGGTCAGGCAGAGACAAAATAGTTGCATGCTAAGCTGAGATAGTGGTAACCTTGGTTAAGGTTTTTCATGGCTCAGTGTGTCAGGCAGATTCTGTTTGGTTAGTTTAAGCTTTAGCATGTTGTGGGAAACCATTCGATACCGTCTTGTGGGAATGCAATTATTGATAATATCCCAAATTATAACAGGTGGTTAATGAGATTTGTGATTATCCAAGATGAGAGTTGATGTTTGGCCTGGCCCTGGCCAGATTTTGGGGATGGGGGAGAAAGGTTAGGGGTCTTGGCTTCCTTTTTGTTTTAGTCACACTGTGTTCTGTTTTCAACAACTAGTCCTTTCGTACCAGAAGCACCAGCAGCGATGAAGCAAGCACTGAAGCAGCCACTGACGTCAGCACCAGCCACGTTAGCACCAAGTGTTCCTCGAGCAAGATTGTGCATTTCGTGGAAGTGGGCAAGACCAAGAAATCTGAAGGCCATAAAAAGGGAAGTCATAATGGTAGCATCACATTTCCTTGGCCAGATGCTGGATTAACAGCACAGTCAAGTGAAGAAAAGTGAACTGTTCTGCAGTTCCAACCCTCCAAGATGGGATAGGTGGTTCTCTAAATGGACCTTCTTAGTGTGGTTTCCAAAGCCTGGAAGAAGGTCTCTCCATCTTCTCCTTTTCCACCCTTCTAAGAGGCAGCAAAGACCTCCTTCTCTTGGAGGACAGCTCGCTTATGTTGTTACATCTGGGATACCTAGCTTCAGATGTATTTATTTAGTTATCATTTTGGTATCCGCCATAATCACATACTAGCAGAATCCAGAAGAGAAATACGTGTAGCTACCATCCTAGCTCTGCCTGTGGCAATTCAAAAGGCAGGAATTGGCAGGAATTGGCCCATCTTCTTCTTGAGCAGCAACATCAGAATGATGTTGGGAGGGGAACTTGGCAAGTTTCCTTCCTTTCCACTTCTTTCTCTTTGGTGTATCTTCATTTCTGCCTTGCCAAATTTTTCTAACCCCTTCCTCCCTTCTCCCTGCCCCCAATTTATGCCCATGTTTACCTCTTCTTTCCTCAGAAAGCCAAAAGCAAGGAGGGGAAGAAAGAGGATAAACCCCACAAAAGTGGGAAATCCCACAGCAAAGGAAAAGCTGCTTCTCCCCCAAGTGAGTGTAAAACATCCAGGCTGTACAATCTATGAGGCGCTTTAGCTGGGCTCTCGTGAAAACGAGTGGAAGAAATAGTGTTTGCCTGCTGAATGACCTTCCTGAGACAATGCTCCAGGTAGAGGAATTGCATCATTTAAGTTATCCTTGTGGATAGGTTGTAATCCTTTGACATGGTAGCTCTTGACACCAAAAGGTGTTCCAACAACTGGTTACTACTTCCCAATGGGAATGGCCATGGTGACAAAACCTCTACGATTCGTTGGCATCACGGTTTGCACTGTGCCATGCCCACTGAGTTTCCACCACACGCTCAGCCTTCAACCAAGGCTTACAGAACAGAATGGTTGGGTTCATGCGTCACACTAAGACAGAGTCAAACAAGATATATTATAATTTGGTGCAATGTGTAATCCTATACTTGAGCACTGGTGGCCTTCTGAGTTCCCACTTCTTAGATCAGTGTTTCTCAACCTTAGCAATTTTTAAGATATGTGGACTTCAACTCCCAGAATTCCCCAGCCAGCATGGGGAATTTAAGTTAATTAATTTAATTTAATTTAATTTAATTTAATTTAATTTAATTTAATTTAGTTTAAGATCTAGGACAATGTTTCTCAGCCTTAGCAACTTTAAGATATGTGAACTTCAATTCCCAGAATTCATGGCTGGCTGGGGAATTCTGGGAGTTGAAGTCCACATATCTTAAGGCTGAGAAACTTTGTCCTAGATCTTCACTGGCACCTCACTGGTAGGGAAAGCATCACAGCTCTGCATCAACTTTCTCCACGTAACTTAAGACTTTTTTTTTCTGCTAAAGACAAAGCACTGTTTGATTACTATTCATTCATTCTGTGTTTCTCCTTCTTTCAGGCGTGGCTGTGAATATCGTGTTTTCTCCTATCCCAGAAGAGAAAGAAACCAAGGCTGAAAGTCTGCCGATTTTAGGAGGGGAGCAGGATAGAAACCTTAGTTATCCAATGAAGGAATTAGCAGGTGTGAGATTTACAAGGTGTTTTTGGAAACAAAACCAATAATGGAGTGCCGAGTCCCTTCATTCCGGCCGACCAGGTTTTCTCCAAATTTGGATAGCGTTAGGTGGGGGAAGACTGGGGTAAAGATTCTGCTTTTAGGAGCTTAACAAAGCACATTCCACAGCTTAGGATTCCGTTTCTGAAGGAAGAAAACACATTTAATTTAATTTAATTTAATTTAATTTAATCTAATCAGTTGGCTTTTTAAGGTTTGAGCTATAAGGGAAGTGATTATCTTTTCATTTTAGCAAATCAAACTAATCTAGCGTATTCTGGATATATTTATATATTTAAAAATTTCTGGATTTTGGTGAGTTTTGTCCAAAGCAATGGAATCCAGCACTGTAGTTCCCAAATTCCCCCTTTGAAATTGACTTTCCAGGCTGTGCAATTAGACAACTGGAAATGTATGTTGGACAAATGTGCCTTTAAGTACTGGCGTTCTCACAAGAGGGCAGTAAAAGAACATCAGAGAAGGGTATAACAAGCGTCTCTTCCTGAGTCTTGCATGGTGCATCATTAAAGGGATGTGTAGGATCAGCTCTGATTGAATCAGATCTGATTCAAGGCATCGGTTCCGTTTGATCCATGGTCGGAAGTGATTTGAGGCACCGAATCATTTTGATTCACTTTTTCCAATCTGTTTTGGGGGGGGGGGGGGAATTATTTTCAAAATCATTTAGAAAAACTGAATCAAAATGATTCGGTGCCTCAAATCACTTCCGACCATGGATCAAACGGAACCGATGCCTTGAATCAGATCTGATTCAAGGCATCGGTTCCGTTTGATCCATGGTCGGAAGTGATTTGAGGCACCGAATCATTTTGATTCACTTTTTCCAATCTGTTTTGGGGGGGGGGGGGAATTATTTTCAAAATCATTTAATTGGTCTGGAGGCATTCGATTTATCTTGGGGCTGCAGTCTGCATCATTAATCTGGTCTGGAGGGTTGCGTAGTTTCAGTGCTTTGGTCAAAGCAGCCTTCAAACTGAAGTTTTGCACATCCGTTCCAAATGACGTCTTTGGCCACATGACGCAGAGGGAGCTCCTATCGGAAAAACAGAGTGCGTGAGAATAGAGAAATCCAGCTAGTCCAGCTTTCCCTGGTTGTCAGCAGCATGCCAGATTACCTGTATCCTATTCTAGGCTACTTGGACCTCTTGGACTGGACTGGAGAATTCTTGGCAAAACCTTGGGACTTCTACAGGTTTTGTGTGGTTTTATATAGAGGTATGTCCTTTCTACTACTGTTTTTTTTTTCTTTTCTTTTCCAGAACGGCTTGAAAAACAGAAAAACGAGCAAAAGGACAAGCTCAATCTGTGGATGAGTCAGATGTACATTTTCTTTGTCAACCATTTTTTCGCCAACTACAAGAACTTGCAGCTGGTGAAGGAAACCATGGTAGACAACAGAGCCCGAGAAGCCGAGCATTTGGTGCTGTGGAAAATCCAGGAGGAGGAAGAAGAGGCCAAGTGAGCCATTGGGTTTTGGGGTCTGAACGTAGCCAAGGGGGTGGCCCCAAATGGAAGATTTCTCCATGGGGCCAACCTTCCATGGTTCAAGTTGGGTTGATTTGGATCAAAGCTGTGGCATGGCCACAAGGACACTTTCCTGTCCCACCAGCTAGGTTGGGGCTATGCTCTAAACCAGTGTTTCTCAACCTCGGCAACTTTAAGATGTGTGGACTTCAACTCCCAGAATTC